CAATGTGGTTTTTTTCCAGTGTGGGTGCGTTAAAGAAAGGAGACGGCTTTTAGGGCTCAGTGAAAAAAAAAGAAGAAGAAGAAAAAAAAAAACAGATTGGATCTACAGTCAAGACTCTTAAAAACATCGACAAGAAAAAGTACTCTTGATTCATTCAGAATCTAGCTTGAATCAAGAACCAAGCCTCTTAATTTAAGCGGATTTTGTTTTAATTCAAGCAAAAATCCGATTGAATCAAGAGTATTTTTTCTTGTCAATGTTTTCAAGAGTCTTGACTCTAGATTCAATGTGTTTTTTCTTCCAGTGCTGGGTTACGTAACGCTAGAATCAGTGCGTAGCGCCGATATTTTGAAAATCTCAAGATGAAAAATTAACGCGAGGGCAATTTTTCATCCAAAATTCATCACATGACTCAAATTGGAGAGGACGATTGTATGAGTGATTTTTTAGAGGTATCCGGACCTGTGCATTACGAAGGGGAAGGTGGTCAAAAAATTCGATTTTCATTGGTGTGTGCTCATCAAAGAAAGAAAAAAAAAAACGTCTACGGCGAGGTTCACAAATGATGAGGGGACCTATGTCCATTCTGCGACATGTCGCAAAAAACTAGAAAAAAAGTCGCTTGGATCTTGAGCCCAGACTCTTGAAAACAATGACAAGGAAAAATACCCTTGGTTCAATCGGATTTTTGTTCGAATCAAAGAGAAATCCGCTCAAATTAAGAGGCTTGGACCTCGATTTAAGCAAAAATCCGATTGAATCAAGAGTATTTTTTTTTTTTATTTATTTATTTTGTCAATGTTTTCAAGAGTTTGGACTCTAGATCTAAGCGAATTTTTTTTCAAGTGAAGATGTTCACAATTAAATACTCATTTTGTGAAGATAAGCTTCCACAATCGACGACCTTCTTGCAGAGAGTCTCCACATTTCAATATTGGAGGGAACGAAAGGAAAAAGATGAAACAAAAATAGAGAACTGTGTCCATAATCCACGAATCTACCCAGGACCAATCGGTCTCGTCGTGATCCTGAACTTTTTTCACCCCAAAACTTCGACTCACAATACAGGTAATAGGAGAATAAAATCCCTCAACCATGGTTCAACCACGAGAAGGCAACGGTGGCCGCTCCTAAGGAAAACACTTTAGCTAAGGATTAAGAAAACCTGCCGCAATCTGGCAACATGGCAACCAATTTCTAATCCGAGCCTTGGACTCTTCTCCACGTTTACGCGACAGGCTTGTTAAATCGGACAGTAATTCCCTGTAAAATGATGTATGGAACACGAGGTGCGTCGCACGATTTGGCAAATATGGGGACGGTGGGACACTTTAAGCTGCCGGGGACCTTTTCGATCCCATAATTCACTGGTAATTTAATGGACAAGGAATTAGCACTTCTGCACATTGGGACCCTGTTCTTAAATCAACCGCGGAGTGCGAAAAAAGGCAACTCGTTTACAAACGGTGCTTTAAAAAAAGTCTAAGTTATGAGGATATCAATCGTAAAATTCGTCTAAATATTACACCTCAGCAAATGAGAAACTAATATTTTGATCTCATTTGTGAAAGAACACATGCGCAATTAGTTTCTCTAGGTAAATAAGTGCTTTTATGGATAAGCTAGAAACAGGAGCTCTAATTTCCTAAGTAACTGCAAAATATGGTCCAACTAGTTAAGCGCCTAAAATTTCGAGGCGCTTAAAATCAGAGGTGCAGAAAGTTCTTCGCCTTCACATTTTTGCACTTAAAAAAAAAAAACTCTGGCAGATAAGCCGTACTTACGGGCTATATAGGCATTCTGTCCGCGTTCAGGGCTCTGTGGCTGAAAGTTCCGGGTGTAGGACCCAGAGCAGTCGAGGCTACGGCTCCAGCACCCAGAACTTTCGGCCTCAGATCCCGGAACGGACGGTACGTCTAAACAGCCCGTAACTTTTATTTCAGTAGGGGGACATTTTTTGAGGTTGCCTTCATTGCTGTCTTCATAAGACTTGCGTTTCGTTATATAGAAAAAAAAGAGCGCACCTAACTATTTTCTTCGCATTAGAGAGCGTTCCCTCATAAAAAGCTATGCGCTTAGTAGCCTCTGGATTTCAGCCTTTACATATCCCCTTTTCTATGTGCCTTTGGATTTGTTTTACACCTTTTCCTGAAAAGGTGTAAAACAAATCCACACTTTATTGTTTCTCTAACGTAAGGAACGGCTAACGTAACGTTCTGTAACGTATCTCGATTTCCGCATGAGCTGCAGAAAGCGTGGATTTATCCGCTTTGTTCAGCGATCTATCTACAATCGGCCACAATTTCTTCACCCCTGCTGAAAATGTTGTACGGCTGCGATTCTCGTTGCATTCCCCTACCTCGCAACGTTAACTAGCAAGTTAACGTTGACAAACCTATCACCAGCGCATTACAGAAATTTGCGGAGGGCTCATGGAGAATTGCGGAGGTCCCTATCAATTTGGACCCCTGCAAACTTCCTATGCCTTTGATGTCTGTTGGTAAATTTCGTGGACTTCAATATTCAGTTTTCGGAGAGTAAGAGTGCGTGGTGTTGACGGTCGAGATTAATCTGACATCTCAAGAAACCGATGTGAAGTTCTAGAGCCCTTTCGGCAAGTCCTGGTTTGTCACACAACTTTTTTGACTTGCATAAAGAATTCAAAACATACTAGTAAGATTAGGTAGGCATAACGTCTTACATCCAGCAAGTTAACTAACATCTGTATAGTCGTGTTGCTAAATGATGCGAATTGTCCTAGGTGCAAATTATTTTTCACAAAAACCACTCTAACTAAACCACGTCTGAAATGTCAACCATTGATACAAGAGACGGGAAAAATGCTTTCTAGTCGCTGCTGAAATTATGCTAGGTAGGTACCTACATACCAAGCTTCACATCGTCATTAATACCTGTCATGAATTTTTCCCCTCTCTTTATTTTTCTTTTGTGAATATAAATTTAAAGAAATAAATTGTACTTAGTAAAGATTTATTTGTCGGAGCCATAGGACAGAGGTAACTCAGTGGTGCAAAATTTGCTCGACCATGCGTTCCGCGGATCACGTGATCGATGAGAAATTTTTTTTTCAAAACGGCACCGAGAAAAAATTCCAACAATTCATCGATCTTTTCGACTTTTCGGGAGACGTTCAAGGAAGTACATCTGTGATTCGTATGAAACGCGAGGAGGTACATCTGAGGATCGCGATATTCTCAAAAAAGAAGAGGAAAAAAAAATGTATGAACACAAAGGTCATCTTTTGGGAAAATTTGGGAAAGTGAGGAAATTTTTCGAAGGTGAGGGAGGAAGTCTGCCGAGTCGCAATCGAGATAGGCACATGGTTTCCTTTAATTTTCGGCCATCAAAAGTTGAACAGGAAAATTTCTTCATACCTAGTGCGGTAAATCACCGAAAACTGGAAGAATTTTCCGTGTCAGCTGGGATGAAAATAGCCCAGAATAGCTCTACCTAGGTACAGCTCTGAAATAGCTCTATTTTTGAAGAGTTGCTCTTTCTAAAGAGAGAACCCAGGAACTATGCATTAAATGGCTAAATCTTGTTGATCTCCTCTGATTCCTAATGGTCAAATTCTATTCTTCAAAGATGCTCGTTGCTAAAAGTAGTTCCTTTAACAGAGTTCTTAGAACATGTTTCAAGGATTCACAAATTTGGCCCTGGAGGCATGTTTTTCAGTTCTCTTTAAGCCAGGAAAAAAACTTAACTCCTAGGATTTTATTTTCAAAAACCTCTAGTTGTTGAAATAGAAGATGAGCAAAAGTCTGAATAGTCTGTCAAAAGAAGAGACATACAGGTCAGGACCTGGAAAAATGAGCATAGTTAGAACATGCCAGTAAGAAGATTTCGCAAGTCACATTGCCCTCTCACTAACTGCTGTTGTGGATTTGGATGGACTAGAAGGAAGGAGGGAAGTTCTCCTTCACGAGACTTTGATGTAAATATTGATTCAAGTATTTGCTCATTATTTGGTATCATTGGAACACAACACCCATGTCAAAAATCCACAGAGGCTCAAAGGACTCTTCTGAGAGACAGAACCTTTTCTTATGTGCATCCTGGGTGCTGAACTTTGTAAGTCAGTAATCTTAGTCCCAGTCCCCCTTTTTCTATAGTGAATGGCTGTGCCAATTTCATAAAATCCTGGTGAAAGTATTTTTCTTTTGGTGCATCATGAAACACCAGTTCAACAAAACAACTTATGATAGGTACGTATTTTGTACAATAAAAGATTCAGAGAGTGGTCAGGGATGGAGAGTTCACCGAGCTTTTCCAAGGAATAATGGTGAAAGAAGAACCCTGAAAATCGAAATTAAGAGCAGATACCTTCAGCAGCAATTGTGTAGCTACAAGTTTCGGTCTTATTTTCTTTTGGGTGCATTAGGTACTCACTGTGGACCCTTCATGATAGAGGCTAGGAGTAGGGAGGAACCAAGAACCCCTGATTATGATGACCTATACACAAAGGGATTACTCTCTCACTGCCTTGGTTGCCAGAATTCAATCCCAACATATGTTTTTCCCTCAGCCAAACATTCCAACAGGACTGATGATTGCCAAAATATTAGAGCCGGTAAATATAAAAATAAGACATTCTAAATGCGCCTACATTTATAACTTGTCATCATGAAAGTCGTGGCAATTAAAAATTAATGTCTCAATTATAGCTGCCCCAAACGCAACATGGATTTGCTAGTGCTCCGAGATGGTGTGAGCCAATAGGTAATTCAGTAGTTAGGGTGATAGGTACAGTACTGGTACCTTAGTTTTAATCATGATGATCATACGATCTTGCACAAAAATGCTCATACCCTGGCTTGGCTGCTGGTCTATGATGGTTCAAAAGAGAAAAGTGACATCTCCTACTCCTCAGTCCTTCCTTAAATTATTTTGGTCCATTGTAGTGTTTCCATATTCTCACTCACATAAGTGATACAAGATAGAAAATGCAAATTATACTTCCCATCTGACGGGGAGCTTAC